TCTATTCCCGCTCCCCACACTCCTCCAAATCACAACCATACGGCCATTCGCCACTCTATTTTTATTATTAATTTATGTTGTATGCTCGTATTTTCCCCCCAGCTTGCAACCCCAAAAAATAAGCTGACAGCGAAAACTTTGCAAACACATACTCGCATCCTGGCCATAAGTCTAAGTTGGTTTCCCTTTCTACCTACGTCTGCCTTGGTCTAGTGCTGTTGGCTGGTTACCAGACGGGCTGCTTGGCTGGCTGGATGGCTGGTTGCCCCGGCAATTCGTGTGCATACTTTTGGTACAGTTTCTCCAGCACTTTTATCGTCCTCCGTCCCCAGCACCATCATTAGCCACGAGAATGAGCTGAAGTCGCTGTTTGCTCCACTACCCCAAAGCTAAAATCCTCTTCGTTGTTGTCAGCTACAAACATGTTACGCTTATTGTTGTTCTTCTCCTCAACACTCTCCCAACAACAAGGAAGCTAAATGACGTAGTTTCGACGGAAATGAAATGCGTAGAAATGGAAAATTAAAATACAAGTCATTAGGAACTGATTATATATATAGCAGGTAAGAATTAGGGAGCTTTTCTTTATTTTCTTAAAACCATAATTATCCCATTAGAGAAGATTGTAATTATCAAGATCCAACAGATCCGAATAAATGATTGAGAAACGGAAACATTCTAAATAATCGATTATGCCAGTACAATACTTTTTTCATTGTGGAAGACAACGGTGTGCTTAAGAACTCTTAAGGACTTCTAAAAAATTAAATATGTTATTATTTTGAATTTAAAAGCTGCTTGTATTCGGATAAGACCTATTTAGGGCAGTTGCGCTAAACTTCTGGTGGAGATCCAATTATTTAAAGAACAAATAGTTCCAGAAAACCCAATGTTCTATTGCTTAAAATCAAGCAGCTTGTACCAGAGAGGTAAACTAGCACGTGGAAGCGCGAAATGTGTATGACAGGCAGAACAAGACGTGGCAGATACCATGTTATAGGAAAATCGAGAATTTCTTGTAACTTGGTAATTATACTTGTATTCTCCATAAGCAGAGAACTTTTCTTACAAACCACATATAGTCTCATTCCTTTATACTGTAGCACCCATAGAGACGATCAATGCAAAAATTAGTCTTTGTATGATGACATAAACAAAGACTGTTTATGAAGATAAACCCAGAAAATTTGATTAAATCCACTCCCTATAACATATAGCTGCAATATAAACGATCGGTGCAATAATTATTCTTAGTATCAGAAACTATTTTATTTATAAATATATATTTAGAAAATCTGTTATTTATAAATTTGGGGGTTGTTTCCAGTTTAATTAGGAGTGGATTCTCCATTGACATATAGCTGCTATCGGAACGATCGGGCCAATAGTCAATCCAGTATAAAAAAATTGTATTAGTAGTAGTTTTATCAAAATCGGTTCACTATATCGTATAGCTGGCGGAGGAATGATTAATATACAGTATGTAAAACCTAAAATCAAAGCAGCAGCTACGCATAGAAGAGATTTCGTTTAATGTTTGGAGATCGGAACCTCTTCAATAAGTCGTTTAGAGGTTACCCAGATACTTGGTTTTGAGAGTAAAGGAACCTATGTAGCTCCAATACTAGATAGATTCCCTCCTTAATGCTTAGTCTGACCAATTCCATGGGATACCTTGGGAGAGCATTAATGTTACTTGAATTTGAATTCAATTTATTTGTATTTAAATATAATTTTTAATCGCAATCTTTAGTTTAAATTCAACCTCGACCCTGGAGTGCTTCCTCATTATCGCCTTTATTTCAATGCGAGCTCATTTCAAAAGATTTCAGGTAGCCAGGTAGCTATGCATTATAAAAAAAAAACTCCACCAGAAGAACAAACGAGTCCAATTATAATTTTGGGCCAACCAAAAACTTCGCTGCTGCCAAGCACACAAACCGACAATAAAAGGATGGGAGGCCCACTCCCAGTCGACGGCCAAGGATTGCACTTCAAAAGGCAACGGCTGCTGTTTCTGCCCCTGCTGGGGTCCTGCACGGCCGAGCCAACAGACAAAACAAAAAGCATTTTGGTCGTTCATGCCGGCGAAAAAGCACGAGCGGATCAATGACCTGCATTTCACAGCCTGAGACACATTTCAATCGATAAAAGCGAAGAGTTGGGGCACGAGCACAGACTACGAACAAAAAGCAACAACAAAAAAGAAGAAAAAACAAAAAGCAACATGGCGCACGTAAAATATGCAAGCTTCCTGCAGGAAAAGCCAAAACGATAAAATGGCGAAACGCTGAAATGGCAGACGTGGCGCAGTGCCGGACGCTTGGTGGTGGTTGTTGCAACGTCGACTGTAAATGTGTGTCTGTGTGTGTGTGTGTGTGTGTGTGTGTGTGTGTGTGGCATGATGAGGGCAGCAGCACAACAAAAATGCTCGTGTGGAACTTTCTAACGTGGCCGAAAGGTAGCTGTTAGCCAGCCAGCCAGCAGGACGGCGCACTTGGCTTTGGACTTTTGTAACATTTTATTTCGCAAGTGAGGAGTGGGAAGTGAAGATTGCTAGGCAGCTAGAAACTTTGCATTATAAATTGAGAAAGGTGAGGCTAGCACACCCACACCCACACACACACACACACATACATAACTAACAACTGTCATTAGCAGCGAAGCACATTCTGAACGACCATGCGCCAACATTCCCACAGGAACTCAACAAACAATGCGAACCGGCGAAAATCAAATGCATTGAAGCGTTAAATAAAACAACAGCAACAGCAATAACAACAACAACAACAGGAACAGGGACAAGAACAGCAAGGCAGCGACAACCCCAAAATAGAGCGTACAACTTCAACTTGGGAACGCACCCATGGCTGGGGTGTTGTCTGTGCACCCATCCCGCCCCTCCAAACAAAAACAACAACTACAAACACATACCTTTGACCAGACCATGTCCAGAACAAAAGTTAACGCATTGCACAAAAGTTTTTGCGACAATTCCAAGTTTTCCCTTCGCCAATTCAGTTATTGGTTAGAGTTTTGGTTAAAGTACATTTTCAAATAACTACTCTATGTAAGCCTTTAGCCCTAAGTAGATCTTAATAATGCGCTTTTATTAGATTTTAGCTGATCTCTTTCCGAAAATATTTCAAAAGATAAACCGTTAAAATAATAATGCTAATTGTTAATGAGACAAACTCTCTCAGTTCTATATAATAAAATACCTGATTCTTCAGTTCCTACACATTTTCAAAATACCGATCAAAAGATTGGAAATGAAAGAATTTTCAGTTTTTCTCATCGATCTAACAAACCACCCTCTTCAACCCAGCCATTGTGATCACAAATATGATTTTCAAAAACGCATTTTGTGGTTATGTTGAACACTGAAGAGATCCAAAATTATTAACTAAATTAAGTAAGCAATTTACTATTTAAAATGTAACCATAAACTTGTAGAATGCTTAAGTGTTGCCAAATCGACTCTTTGATACCCTGTGACCACCCATTTTCTCAACCCAACCCACTACAACCCTTTAACTAAATCAAACATTTTGTACCAATGATCGCTATGGAGCTATATAGCGATAGCTATACTTCAAATTACTAATTATCATGAATACCAGCTAAAACCGAAACAACTATCCGACTAAAAATGATTATTGTCCCGATCGGTTCTGAGGCAGCTATTTAAAAACAATATTTTTTGTTATAAACTTGTTGTGCATATAAGATAAGACACGTCTATATTCCAAATTTGATGCCCCTAGCTGTATTGGTTTAAAAGTTCTCGAAGCTCATACGGACAGACGTCCTGTCATGCTAATCATACCTTTATGTGCAATCTGCCACGTCTTCGTCGGCCTTATACATTCAATGCTTATGGTTTCTCTTCACTCTTCTGATAGAGGTTTTAAAAGTATTCAAATTCTGGTCAAATTATAGAGGGTTCTTCTGAGCTATATAGAGGTTTAAAAAGTATTCAAATTCTGTTCTATGTATAGGTTGTATTTCCAATACACCAGTAAGTTGCTTTTCAGCTCTAAAAAGTATTTATATGGGTACATAGTTTTAGAAAATGAAATAACTCCAAATGCTGTTTAGGAGTTTGAAATTAGCTGTGCGTTTAGAAATGTCTGACTATATTGACAAATAAAACAAGTTACAAGAACTTTGTTAGTGGTCTATAGATTTTCTTAATAGTTAAATGTTTAAAATTCACAAAAGTATTGAATGCGAAAAAAGTTGTCAGCAGAAACTCATAAACAGCTAACGATTGCGTTAAATTTATGAATTTAAAATACGAGCATTTATAATCTCAATATATTTTCCACTTTTCACTATTTGGTGGAGAGGTCGCAATTATCAGGCGCTTGGAGCAGCGTTCGGGTCGGTCTCTCCCGGAGCCATTGATAATTGTGGCAGAAAGTTGTTGCTGTTGGGTGGATTTGGATTATGGTCGCCTCACTAGCACACTCCCGCGCCAGTTTTTGTGTTGTTTATTGCGGCTTCTGGCTTGCATGCCCCATCAGTATCAATGTAGTCTAGTCTGCATACGAAAGCGCAGGCCTTAGAAATGAAAGCTGCAGCGAAAGTCTGTCTGTCGGAAAAAAGCGAAACTTGTGTCTGCAAATTGGAAATGGAGTTGTGCAGAGCGCAGCGCAGCGCAAGTTCTTTGCAGCCAGCCAGCCAGACAGAGCACCAACTCCAACCCCAACACCAAACCGAACACTGAACACTGAACCCCCAACCCGAACCTCAAATCGGGCTCGAATTGTCAACCCTCCGCTCGCTTCGAAGCTGGGGTATCTGTCTGTCTGATGTAGACTGATGTCGTTGTTGTTGTTGTTGCTGTTGTTGCCATGGGGCAGGTGCAGGTGCATGCAAAGCCCATGTGTTGGGGGTGGACGAGAATATTGTTGTTGTCAGCGCTTCAGTGAAAATAAATGAAATGAACGGCTTACAATATTCCACGCGCAATGGGTCAGTGTAAAATATTTGTATGTATGTCTGTGTGTTGCATTATTTGCCCAGACTTTTGCACAAAGTTAATTACTAAAGTAGATTACTGTTTATTGGGTGATTGTGTGGCTGGTTGTGGTTGTGGTTGTGGTTGTGGACGTTCCACCAACTTAAAATATCCGTCGACTGCATAGATTTGCGGATCTTGGGGTCCGCTGCCATCGGGATTTGTCTTCCAGCTGATGGTCAGACAGGGCTGTCCCTGCGGATCGCGTATTATATTATAGCCATTCAAGTGCTGCGGCTCCACGTTGTGCTTGATGAGAATCATGGGTCGCTCTCCGAGTAGGGAATTCGCCAGTTGTTGTGGCTGTGGCTGTGGCTCTGTCGCTGCCTGTATGTTCACTGTACGGCAGAAAGAGGCGTGACAGTATCTTTAGAAATGTCGGCTTCGTCACTCTACTTACATGGCGTGCTCTGTGAGCTGGAAACCAGCATCAGTAATGGCAGCAGCGTCGAAACGAGCCACCACACATTGTGCAATTTGTGTGATTTCATCACTTATTTATATAAAATAAAATATAAACAAAACGTCAATTACAACTAAAACAAGTGGCGTTCTGTTTTTTTATTTTTTATTATTATTTATACTAGATGCTGCACGCGTCTCTCGCACTCGGAAGCTGCTATCAATTCTAAGCGCTACGACTTCACGCTCCGCAGTCTCTTATAGAACTGTGCGGGGCTTAGAGCGAATCGTCGCCCAAAACCTCGCACTCTTCCTTCCATCCACCTGGGCTTGATTTTGTTCACTGATAAGGCCACGAGCTCGTATGCTAATGGGCTTATCGCCAAGACTGCGGCTAGGCCTGAATGAATTTGATGTATTGCGGAATGCTCTCGGTGCAGCCATTAATGGCGGCCAAGTTGTAAACAAAGCACATATTTTACATATTTCTCATAATGAGGCTCATTGAACTGATAAGGCAAAGAACAAAGAAAAATTCTCGACTTTTTACAGCGCCTGTTGAGCTACATTTGAAATGCACGCTGTTAAGCGAAACTGCACTTGTAAGTGCTGCCAGATAAGTAGAAATAGTTAAGTGTAACCCAAGCAGCGAACTGCTTTAGATGTAAACTGCGCCATCTACCGATTAAAGTTGAATTTCACCCTATTTAGCAAATACTCACTCCACTTAGCAACAAATCAGATCATTTCTCTGAAAAAGTAAAAGAGAGCAAATATCTTGGCTAACAACCTGTCAAAAACACTGCTGCCAATAACTGTTGAATCGAAATTTATTAGTATGTGTTATATGTGAAAGCTTTTAAACATAAAAAGTGAGCCATTTGGATCATGTGAGTTGAATGTTGGTTGGGAAGATTGGCTACCATGTGTGTAGAATTGCCGTCAGCTGGCGCCAGTGTAACTAGCACCAGCCTGTAATACACCAAATTAAGCCAACACGCTAACCACAATTCAAGTGGTGGGTGTATGAACTGGCAAGATAACTGATAACAACTTCTTCTTAGCCTCTTTATATGAAAATGCGTACGCTGTGGAGACAAAAAGAGAGAAATGCTTCGCAATTTAATGCCTATTTAATGCAATTTATTCACTTAACTGCAGGAAACATTAAACTTATTAAATTTGTGTAATCAAATTACAAAAATTAAACAAACAAGCTTATCTAGCTAGCTTTTTTCATCGAAATTTAGCGTAACAACTTTGTTTTACTATAATAATAATAATTAATTAATGAATTAATTTTAATGCAACTCGGTTTTACATTAAACGTTTGAAGTTTCTGTATACTAACAGTAACGCATAAGTATAGAATGTAGTTCAAACTTTTAATGTAAGCTTAATAAATATTAACTATTACTACAATTTGTTTGTTTGTTTATTTGTTAGGTATTAGGTTGGTATTTTACACGTGTTTCATTATGTTGCTTAATTTAGTTTATGACCATGTTTAAATATTTCAAAAGTAAATATTTAAATATTGCAAATTACTAATATTTTATGTTGTTGTGAAGAAAGCATTGCTGTAGCATTTGGAAGGACTGGGCGGGGTTTTTTAAGGACACTTTTAACAAAATGCAATCTTTTTTTAATAAAAAGAAATTAGTTGGGTCATTGAAATTTAAATAAAATACGTTTGCCTTTCCTTTGGACGGAAACCGATCCGCGAATGTTCCAGTTTTAATTTTCTTTTTTCTCCCAGAAGAAAAAAAAAACAAAGTGAAATAAACTCTGCTCGGCTTGTTGGAAGACAAATGAGAATAACATTGTAATAATGTGTTAATTGAAATGAAATGTAAGATCATTTGATTTTCATTTTGTTTTTACATTTTTGCCCTCAAGTGTGCGTCATTCTTAGTGACGGTCGAGTGTTGTTGTGATTTGTGTTGATTTGCTTTTCTTTGCTACTGTACACAGTCTTTGTAAATGATTTTTGTGGTTGTTGTTGTTGTTGTTGATGCATCGAAACCTAAATGAAGCCATAACGGCTGCCCTTCAAGCCCTTCTACACCTCCGTACTGTGCGTCTGTATCCGCACCTTCTTGACACTTCCATTGCGTCGCATGGGCGGCGAGCTGCCCGATCCCGAATAGCCGGGATTTTGAATGCCCAGCGCAGGATCGGGCCGCGGTCGCGGCTTTTTCAGACTCGAACGCAATGGCGAACGCGTCACAGAGTCGAGTGTGGAGCCATTGGAGACGCTAGTAACGGTGGTACTCATCGAGGCGACACTGCCCGCAGTTCCAGCGCCGTTGCGAATGCCACTGTACGGCTTGCCAGATGCATCTGTTACCGACACACCGTTCCGGCCGCGCTCCTTGAAGCCCGGATTGTTGAAGGTGGTGGCACTGCCCGGCGAGGAGGCGTCTAACGCCATTGTGGGATCGCCACCCGGATTGCGCGAGTATATGACGTCATACAGAGCGGCCACAAATAGCGCAATCGTTAAGACAATGACGACAATCTGTCAACCAGAATTATATAGTAATTCGGGAACTATAAAGGCAAATCGTAAGACTTACTTGTAAATAAAAGGAAATCCCGCGTGAGATTTTAAAGCCGTAACGCTCCTGCTCGTCAATCTGAAGAGCAAACAGTGCAGTGGCTATGATGGCCAAGAGACCTACCAGAAGAAAAAATAAATAAATAAATAAAACAAATCTCAAATAGGCCAATCAGGTGGAACACTTACCACCTAGCAGAGCTAGAATCAGCTTGACAATGACCAGGGAGGTGTAGGACATCACAACCTTCTCCCGCGATGAGATCATCGCATGCTGAATAACCGATAATATGCAGAAGATTCCCAGCACTGCTGAGCTGCCAATGGCGAGTAGGCCGCTGACGAAGACTGCATCTGAGCGGAGAGCGAGTTAACGAAAGAAAAGTATATATACAAGTACATTAAATAAATAACAACAAAAACTATCAAGCATTAATAAGAGATATTGGAACTCATACTGATTGATAGGAAAAATAAGAACAATTTGTTAAAACTGGCTAGTTTTAAATAGAACTAGAAAGGAAAATAATTTTAAATTATTAACAGCAATGCACATATTATTTTAGACTGTACTTAAAGGGTACACAAAGTTCTTCAACAAGTTTGTGTTGTGAGTCGGATTAATTATTTGTAATTTCTAGAGTTTTCGTTAGCCTTTCTTTGTTTGCCTATAAAAAAAAAAAAACCAGAGAGGGTTGGCCCTACATTTGAAGCTACAATATGTTCTATCCTAAAACAAGAATGAAATGGTAGAATCGTGAAAATAATAACAAATAATCTTTACAAACATACATTTCTGGACATTGTTTTTCGTATATGGATTTCTGTCTATGCTTCTTTATTTTAGAATACACTTATCATTAGGAAATAAAAAGGCACTACCAGCACGTTATAGCCGTATAAATGAGATAAAGCACAAATAAACTCGTCCTTTCTCTGACCTAGTTTGTTTATTCTAGCTCTTATACTGTTAGAGATATTTGCGTTCATACCGACAGACAGACAAACAGACGGATATACCTATATTGACTAGTTTTACCATGCTGATCATGAATATATATACTTTCGGTGGACTGCTGCCAAGGCGTTGCGGTACAGGGTGTACAAAATAAATTTCTCTGACCCGTTGGGGGGAATATAATTAGACTTACTGGCAAGTAAAGGTCCATATATGTAAAGTAATGTTCCTTCTTTGATTTATACGCTCGCTTTGTTGAAAAACAAAAACACAAAGCAAAGGCAAACCAGTTGCCAAAAACCAAATTCCACAAAGGCGTTTCCTTCCACCTTTATTTTAAAAAGGACTTTGTATTTAGGGGTAACAAGTCTATTCTGTATAAGATCTATTCAAATGTAAAAGAAAGTATTTCTGTGCAAACTTTTCTTTTTTAAAATAAAATGTGCCAGGCATTTAATAAATTTACAAGTATTTTTTTAATAAAAGACAACATTTTTTAAGCTTACTCTCAGATTTTTCATTTGTAGAGATTGTTGATTTAATTGATTTTTTTGTTTTTTGTGGCACAAGCTGCCAGAATGTTTTTGATTAATGTTAAGACTTTCTTTGTATTCATGTTTATATTTCTATTGGATCTGCTATGAGAATATTCCTCTGTAGATTTAAATATACGCATATTTCTTTGTAAGACAGAATCTTTAAAAATTCAACTGTTCAATTTTCAAAAAGGGCGCTTAGGTCTAGCTAGTCTTGTTCTCTACTACTTCGAATACCGTCTCATGAATCGTAGAACCGTAATATTGCCATCAATACTGAGCTAATCTGCTCATTACAGTAAAAGTAATAAACCAAAAAAGTTTAAATTTCTAAATGATAATTGCTGTTCGATTAGAACTTACTGCTTAGTCTGAATTTGGACACATCGTTGCCACATTTCTCTCGATTGTAGGTTAATTGCTTGCAAACTTTGAACGGCCCGAAATAGCCGCGATCGTAGTCATAGCCACCTGTAATCATGATGTATATAATATAGATATTTGGAGAGATCAGAAAGTTATTTGTACTCACCCGATGGACTATCGTAGTAGCCCCAGATTGGTATACCAATGGCAATGGATGCCAAGGCGAAGCAAAGAAAACCCAAACAGGTCACCCCAGCAGCATAAAGTGTCGACGTCGCCATGTTCTACTGTACAGCATAACGATAACGATGACGATGACTTGAGATATATCCTATTAAATTCTGAGATCCGATCAACTGGGAAGAGAGTAAGTAAGCGAGGGAAATGCTTGATTATTATTAGATCAGCAAATTGAGCAAAGAGCTGCATTAATATTGCAAAGATATTTATTACGAGAACATATATATATATATTTATATACATAGATATATAGCACTCACTACTTCTGAGCCACAATTCATGCATAGAGTGTCATTGTCAAGCGCATTCGAAGTGGGTGGTAGGGTGGTTGGGTGGTTGGTGGGAACTTTTGAACGCAATGAGAACTGCTGAGCTGCGTCTGACTGGCATTGCGTTGCATTTATATGTATTTGCATTTGCTTTCCATGGCACTCACATGAATTGGCCATGTAATCCAATATTTAACTTAGTGCTTACATCGACTTGACATCCAATAAGTAAGCCCCTTGTCTCTCCCCTCGTCTCTTCTATGCCCCCATCCGTCGCAAATACAAAAGCCCATCTTCATAACGAACAATTAGATTTCATTCAAACATAAAGAGCTACTTGCCGATGACCTTGAAACACAAAAAAAGGCAACAAAAAAATTGTATAGCTTATGGCAACACATATATGTGTGTATATATATATATATATATATATATATAGACCTAGTATGTCTGAGTACAGAGGCGAAGAGTGGCGGACGCTCTGAGGTTTGGGTGCGCACTTTTAAGATGCTTAGATACACACGACTGTGTAGGCATTGTGAGTGTATCCATAAGCTATAAAAATGCGACAGCACAATTGTTTGCTTGGCTTAATGTGTATCACATACCGAGCCACAGAAATATGTGAGCTTAATGCGATTTCCTGCACAATTGAATGACAGTTATGGGCTCTAATGACTACCAGAAAACAAGCACGGTAGCTACAAATTCCGTTTAAGCTATTCTGTTTATGCACTTTTGACAGCACTGTGCTAATTTTATTTATAGCCATTAAATGTAATTCACACCAATGATTCTTATGTGCCGTCAAACTGAGCGTATACGTTATATTTTTAGAGCCAACAAAAATAGCAGTTACATGATAAGTTAGAGCCGAGTTAGAGCCAAAAACTTGACGAATTCGAATTATCAAGAAGTATATTATAGACATAAAGAAATCAACAGCAATTAGGGACGAAATCATTAAAGTAAGACTTTAAAAATTCAATTAAATAATGCAAATTAAAAAGAAATTTTAAAAATTAAATTAAACCCCAATTAAAAGGAGGGCAAGGAAAAGAAATGCCAGTTAATAAAATCACACATGGATCAACAAAATATTACTTCATTTAAGTCAATCAATTATTTAATAAGATACTCAAATCGGTGATGCATTTTGATTAACATTTTAGGTAAAACAAACTTTATAATCTTTATATATATAAAATAGTTTGTCCTGACTGACTGATTGGCAATCAACGCCCAGCCCAAACGGTAAGAGCTAGGAAGCTGAAATTAGTACTCAAGTATCCTTTCATAGTATCCATCATAGTGTATGTGCGCACTAAGAAAGGCTTTTGGAAAATTCGAGCTCCAAATGGGGAAAAACTAGTCGGACTAAGACGGGCAATACCTACTAATAATTATTATTTAACCTTCTCCTTGGATCGAAAGTTCAGAAATGTTTTATATAAGAACTTCTTGCCATTCAGTAACAGTCTTTCAAGTCCATTTAGCTCTTCTCTCACTTTAATGCTGCCGTCTCTATTTACTCCAAACCTTTTGGACCCTAAAACTACGCTGTAAGTGTTTTCTACCCACCCGTCTATTCTATAAAAGAACATGAAGGGCATTGCCTGATCAAGTTCTCTTGTGTTTCCATTAGCTCATATATTTAGTCAGAATTCTTAGCAGCTAAGTCCACTCAGAATAGCACTTTATCTGGGAAATGTTCAATGTTATATTCACATTAATAACTAAATGGACAACTGTTTGAACAGCTTATAATGATGAGCAAACCTATTTATACTTAATCCACACACATTAACGAATTTTAAAGGGGAAATAAATATTAAGGCTTCAGACAAAAAGTAGAGCACTCTTCTTCTTTATTATGAATCAACTGGCCCACATTAATTCACTCAAGGCACGACTATTAACTAAATTAGTAGACCATTTCACCAACTTTATCCCTCCACCAACCCGGCTGCCAATCGCCCCATCGACCTAATGCCAAAGCAGTCGCTTCTCATAAACAAAGCCAGCAGGCAACGCGACGCGACGCTGCCGAGGACTTTCAATGACACGAGCAGAAGAGTCTTAAAAAAACTAGAACGAAACATTAGATGACAAAGACTGATAGGAAAAGCAACAACAACAACAACAACAACAACAACCTCAATAAACTATTGGGTAGTAACTAAAGCTCGGTTTTGCAAGGCACTCTAGAGCTGGTAACCGAAAACGATTGCAAGCGGCCGGCATCTAGTCGGTCGTTCGGTCTCTGTTTGTTGCTCTTAGCGGTAAATAGACAAGCAGCAATAACAACAAGAACAGCAATAATAAACAACAGCATATTACATATAACAATAAAGTGAATGCAAAAGACAAAGACGAATCGACGTTTCGGTTAGGTGCGGGGCGGATCGGAGAAGTGCGGTGCTATGCGGTACGGCTTCCATTACCAACACAGATGGTTCTGCTTCTTGGCTGGCTGAACTATTTGGCTGCTTGTTATATGAGGAGTCGACGACTTGAAAGTTGGCGGACCGGCGTTATGCTAAGCTCGCTTGAGTGGAACCATTATACATACGAGTACGAGTACGAATACGAGTACAACAACAACTGTCTGCACCAAGTGCGGCGCGTTTTAGTTGAGGGTAGACTGAGCGCCAGCCTGGGCAACAGGTTGTCGAATACATAGCTATATAGTACGAGTATGAATGCACACAAAAAACAATGTGCCATTTACGAGTATGAAAATATTAAAGAACGAGCTACACGATAAGAAGGTGATTTAAAAGATCCAGAGATTGTCTTCAGGGGAAACTCCAAACACCCCTCCAGGCTAACTCTATAAATGTACAGAAATAGATGGACTGTGTCTTTAATTATTTAATATTTTTATTTTCAACTTCTGACTATTCATCTGAAACATTTAACGATTTAAATTTGGAACAGTTTTTCACAAGTTTTAAATTTTTTACATGCGCTTTTTTCAATGGCACTTATCTGCTTTGAAATAGTATATAAGCATATTTTCCGATTCGATTCAAACTTTATAACTAGCGAAAAATCAATCAGTGTACAGTTTTTCTTGTATTCTTTATGAGAGTATACAAACTCAATTTGAAGTAAATCGGACGAAAATTGTAGATTTTTCATTCAAAGGTTGGAGCCCGTTTTCCCCCCTTTGGAGTTCGAATTTTCCAAAACCGCTTCTTATTGTCTACTTTCACTCTGAGAGGAATCTTGTGTCCAAATTTAGCTTCCAACTTTTACCGTCTTGGCTGTCCGTTGATTGCCAATCAATCAGTCAGTCAGTCAATCAGAACAAACTGTTTTATATATACTTGTATAGAGATAGATTATGCCAAAACATTTCCTAATTTCGATTTTCTTTTCGATATTATTATCAACAGTTTTTAATACGAAGATTAAATTAATGGATAGATATATTATGGTATATGTTTTAATAATTAAAATTAAAATAATTCAAATCAAAATCATTTGAGATATTTTCATAAACCAAGAAAGTGCTCGTTCCTATAACAACATTATAATTTTAGTTGGAGATTATATTTCAATGCAGGAATAAGAAATTTAAACGTAAAATATGAGTTTCTTAATTTTTAATAAAGTCCGATTATAAATTTTATGCTTGCTGGGAGGAATCAGGATATTTAAGGAAATAAAAAATAAAATCAACTATTCTGTGATAAAGGCTACACATTGGTTGACGACTGATTGATTTCCCACTTACAGAGAAGCGACTGTATGCAAAACAGCAGCTTCAATCAATAAAGTAAAACCTTCTGAGACATTAAGTAGGAATAGGTCTTAGACTTCGATGAACCCATCCAAGAGTTCACCTTTCGTTACTTAGGCCGAAGTCTTAATTAATGTCTACCAACTGGTACTTAATCGTCTGCTTTCTGCTGCTTTCTGGTGCTTTACGGCCTGTGACTGCGCTCTCATTCAGCCTTCAATCAAGCTCCAACACTCCACAGCTTTATCCAAGCCGAGCGCGCTCTTAGCCGATCTCATCAATGGCTTTAATTCAAGCCGAGCTCTGTGGCGCTCACCACAAAATGAACTTTTCTTTCAATTGTGTCACGATTTTCAACTTGCATACATTTCAGTACAGCCTCAGACTTAGACCCAGACCCAGACCGAGACCCAAACCGTGATCTTCGGCCCGCATTTCTTTCTTCGTGTGCCTGTCAGTCTGTCCGTCTGCCTGCTCGCGTCTTCAAAGGAAGGTGTGTGGGTTGCGGGGAATTTATAGCGCTCTCGGCAATTTAATTTCTTTTGGGGACTCGCGCGTGATTCAGAGGTGATATGCATATGTTTTCGTTTTGTTTTTTTTTTTTTGGTTTTTTTTTTTCTATATGATTTATTCACCAGGCGCGTTGGTGTTGCAGAGTCGCTGTGGAGGAGCAAGTGGGACAAATATATGGCACTTGGACAGGTAGTTGTCCAAACAGCATGCGATTTTGCTTATTGAGTAGCCAACACGTTTTCAACTTCAGGTAATTGTCAGTGCGCCGCCGGCTGTTGGGTCTCTGTCGTGTGGCTGCCACATCGTGTGGGTTTTTGTCTGAAGTAGAGGCTGTTAAGAAAGACACACACATACATACATACGTGTAGACACGCCAGCTAGATTCGATTGTGGATCGTAAATACTTCTAGCAATACGCCTCTTCGATTACATGTACAAGGCTATAAATCACAAGCCCTTTTATTTTATAGACTTTCGATGCTTTTCTAAGCGGATTTACTTTTCTTACATTGCTCTACAAATTATTTATGCAGATAAATCACAAAGCTTCAATTTATACTTGAGTTTGAAACCAAACCTTTACATT